GAGAAGAGCGTCCTTCATCGCGCTACGCGAGTGCGTGAGTGGAGTGGAGTAACGATGATTACTGTCGCTCTAGCGCAGCATTTACTCTCCGACGGCATTCGCAATTATCGGGGAGCTTCCATTAGTTAACTGCAGTCGATACGCAGTGCACCGGGTCCTCGCATCAAAACATCATTACTGCCCGGACACGGGAGCGCGAGAGCCGCTGTACTCGCAGTACTATTGGTAATCAATTTCGCTCCCGTGGCGTACTACCGGTGAGAGCCGCGCTAATGCGAGGCCTCAGCGTTCGCGTCGCATTACGGGAAATCGAAAAGGCAGTCTCGTAATGATTACGCGTTAGGAAACGAATCGAGTGGCAAGAGTACAGGCAGGTGAGTTGCCGTAAAAGGACTGTTTTAATTAGAAATCGAACGCGAGTGTGCGCGCGAGTTGAAGTAATTTTCTTCGTCGGAGGAGAAAAGAGATTAAAATAGATAAGATGCCTCAGAGAAAATAGCACATTGTATTGTTGTTAAAATTAAATCAAAATCTATTACTATTAAGTTCATGGAATACGTCGCTTCGTCTAACGAGGATTTCAATCAATACAGAGTGGAGTAATAACGGTGCAATTATTTTTATCGAATTGAACCCTCCTCCCCCCCCCGTTGCATGCAGCCTGTAGCGTTAGATTATTTGCGTAATTATCCCTTCCTGCACCGCGAACGCAGTTAATGAGGATCTGACCTCGCAATCCAATCGGCAATCGATTTTTGCCTATGTAAAATTACGGACTAGTCTCACTAATGCGAGTTGCTGTGGCATCAGAGAAAACAGCCATCATAAGCATCGCATTCCACAAAATAAATGCTTATTAAGAGTCAGTCGTATAGATAAAACGGATACATGCACCGCTTCGAATTTCGCATTTAAAATCTACAAATATCAGACGAGTAGCAACAATTATTCGACAAATCTCACAATAGACAAGTTGTTATAAAACTCGGATTTTACAAAGTATTTTTTTCCTCTTTTTCTTCTTTCTCTTTCTCGCTGTTTTTAAAAATTTATTTTTTGAGAGTAGATCTACATTGTTTCTAATTTAATCTGTTTCAACTAATTTAACGTATATAGAACATGAAAAAAATCATATATATATATATATATATATATATATATATATTCCAAAATGTTATCATCTCTTTCTTTTCCAGTGATAAAGTTATAAAATAAAAGAGCACGATGCGGGCGTGTATTTTCTCCGAACCATCGTATACTTGCTTTTTTCAAAACATTTTGTTGCATCGCATAGAAAGCTCGCCGCTTGAGCCCGTGCGATCAAACGAACGGATATAAATCTGAGCGTTCATAAGGCTGGCATCGACCGCCGTGGCAGTGCATTTACGATCGATAAAATCATTTTATCCGAATATAATGCGCCGATCGATTCACGCGCCGCTCCCGGCAAAACTCCTCTTTTTTTTTGCTCGCTGTTTTGTTCTCTCTCGCGCCGTCGATCGTGATCGCAATTTTATTGTAATGTACATACTCGGCCTGATCGCGTCTCGCCCGTTGCATCTCTTCAAAAAGCGCGCGGGCTCGCGAACAAACGAATCGAACCCTACGCGATACATAATTCCCGTTCGACAAATTCAATGAGGATTGCGGACCGTCGGTATCCTTCAACCGTGTAATCGAGTTTCCTGCAGGCAAAATCGTTGGCAAAATCACGCAGGGTGCGCTCGTCCCGACTCGATTCTGGAATCCGAGGGTTGCTGTCAGCCATCCCGAATTGAAAATTTGCATTCACGATTGTTACACG